TTTTTTTTTTTGGTACTGGGGATCAAACTTGGGTCCTTGCGCTTGCACAGCAGGAAAAAGAACCACTGAGCTAAATCCCCGGCCTTTTTTTTTTTTTTTGAGACCAGGTCTCACTGTGAAGCCCAGGCTGGCCTCAAAGACATGATCCTCCTGCCTCTGCCTCCCGAGTGTTGGCATGGCAACACTGCCCTACTGTGCCCAGCTCTGGAATGTTTTAGACCCATGGGCATTTAAATAGAGTAGAGAAGGGTTAGCCTCTGCGAGGTGGGTGGGCTTCATCTAATCAGGTGAAGGCACTCAGTGCAAACACAGAGGCCCCTCCAAGTGGACTTGGGCTTTGAGAAGAGATCTCCACTCTTCCCCCAGGCTCCAGCCTGCCACCTGCTCTGCACATTTGAGCCCACAGAGGAGCCAGTCCCTTAGAGTGAGCCAATGTCTCTCTGTCCCTCTCCACATACAGGGCTCCTCACACAGACCCAGGGCACTCTGAGATCTGTGCAAATGTCACAGAGTGGCCATGCCTAAGCCTGGCGGCCCGGCCCATGACCACACCATGCTTGCTGCTGTGCATGAGCTGCCAGCCAGCCCAAGGTTCACTGTACGGGATGTGACCTAGGCAGGCACCCTCCCTGTCCGTCCACTTGCTCCACTTCTGACCAGCACGGTGGGTCCCTGAGGGCAGGGCCTCCTGGACTTCTCCCTGGGGCCAGCCTGTCCTCTCCTGCTGCAGGCCACCTGTGTCCTGGGGCAGTACACAGCCCATGGGAAGTGCTTGCTGTCCTTAGCAGTGTGGGCACAGGTTGACAAGTGGGCATTCTGAAAGCTGTGAACCCCATTCTGATACAGGCCATGGTGTCCTGGGGGACAGAGGCATTTGAGAAGGGATGTGTGTGTGAGGCCTGCAGTTTTTGTGGGGACTTCAGAGTCATCAGCATAAACGCACCAATGTTCATCCACACAGTGGAATATTACTCAGCAAGGAAGAAATCAGCCAGGAAGAAGAGTGAGGCTGTGACACTCATCACAGTGTGGATGGACTTTGAGGACCCCGTATTCAGTCAGAGATGCCAGAAAAGGAGGACGCAGTGTTGGCTCCACAGACAGGAAATGCCCAGGACAGGAGAATCCAGAGACAGGAAGTGGACTCATGGGGAGGGGACTGGTATGTGCTCATGGGGATGGGGCTTTTTGGGGGTGATGAGATGCTCGGGAGCCAGATGGAAGCGGTGGTTACACAACATCACAAATGCACCACGTGCCTCACACTGGAAGATGGCAAGCTTCATGTTAGTAAACTTTTATTCTTTAGGGTCCTTTCCCATCCCCGCCACACTGTGAACTTCCTCCTTCACCCTGCGTCTCCTGACCGGCTCAGCAACCTCAAGCAGGAAGTACTGTTCCTTTGTCTTTTTTAGTGCAAAACTCAAGCAGGCTTGTTGTAAAAAGTGCACACTGCAGACGCATAGAAAGCAGCCCAGGAAAAGAGAAGTCTGGCCCCTCCTTCCCTGGCTGCATCATAACTTCTATTGCCGTTTGTCATCTATCCTTTGTGGACGAGGACCGGAAGAGAAAGTGCTAGTCTGAGGGCAGGCGTGTGGGCAGCCCTGCTGTAGTCCCACTGTGTTCACAAAGCCTGTGGCGCCAGAACTTGACATGGAGCTGTTCTGTCAGCTGCCTCTTTCCGCTGAGAAACGGAGGCTCAGCCAGGCCAAGCAGGTGGCCGAGGCTCACATAGCAAAACTCCATCCTGCAACTGAGCCCCGCTTTGCAGAGAGCCTGCTGTGAGCCAGGCGTGCCCACGGTGTCTTCCCTCCTCCTGCTGTCCCCGCTGTTCCGGGGGCCTGGCTTACCTTGATGCGCTCGATTCCGGCTTCGATCCGTAGCTGCTCCACGAGCTTCCGGGCCTGCGCTACATTGTTAGTGGCTGACATCGTTGGCCATCAGTTTGGGTCCCCGGCGTGCAGAGCTGTGGGATGAGCAGAGGGACATGAGCCAGCTGGTGGGGTCCCCTCCATAGCGGGGACTGGAACAGTCGCTGCAGAGCCTGGTTGGGTCGCCCTTTCTCCGGAGGACCTGGACCTGCCTCTGTCCTTCACCTGGGGAACCTGCAGTGTTTTGTGACCACTCACCACGTGACAGGCGCAGTGCTCAGGATTAAGCTAACAACTGTCCCTGAGGCCCCAGCTCCCTCCTGGTCCCCTCCCCGGGTGACTCAGCCTGGCCCAGCCTGGGACAGTGGAGCGGGCGGCTCCCCCTGTCAGGCAGCCGAGCCAGGCTGTGACCTGGGTCTTTTTTTTTTGGTACCGGGGATCGAACTCCGGACCTTGCACTTATGAGGCAGGCGGTGGAACCACTGAGCTAAATCCCCAGCCCCCTGTGACCTCGGTTTTGACCTGGCTGCCCTGGGTGGGCCCCAGCCAGAGGCTTCACTTTCATTTCCTGGTCAGAGTAGCTTTGGTGGAAAGCGGTGCAGGGAGGGGCTGGGTAAGAAACTGCAAAGGCCCTACTGGGGTCCCCGGGCTGTGAGGGTGGTTTAAAACAGCAGGAATTCATCTGCCCGCAGCCTGGACCCCAGAGGCCCGAGGTGTAGGTCTGTGCAGGGCCAAGCTGCCTCTAGGGGCTGGAGGACACTTCTGGCCTCCCCAGTGTCTGGGGCTCCAGCTGTCCCTCAGCTGTGGCCATGTCACCGACTCTTCACACAGCTGTCTCTCCTGCATGTCTGTGTACAAATCGCCCTCTTTTTCTAGGGTGGGGCTAGTGGGGATGGAACCCAGGGCCTTCACACTGAGCTCCATCCCAGGCTGTTTTATTTAAATTTTATTTTGAGACAGGGTCTCTCTGAGTCACTAAGAAGCCCAGGCTAGACTTGAACTTGCGATTGTCCTGCCTCAGCCTCCCAGAGAGCAGGGATGACAGGTGTGTGCCACCAGACTTGACAATGTGAAATTTTAAGCAATGCTGAAGAGGGGTCTCAATATCTTTATGGGGACCACTGGGTTCCCAACAGTGTTAGCACCCTAGCATCGTGGGGTAGCACAACTCGACTGTGATCCAACCAATCATGGTTCAGAACCTTTCTGTCCCCAGGGTATGTCCTGTGGTTGGTTGTGATGGCTTCTCCCGAGAATCCCAGCTCTATCCTTATCCCAAATCTCTGGAAAACACTCAGATGTTCTGTTCCATAGTTTGTCTTTTAAGGAATGTTAAACAAATGGAACCATACAGAGTGTAGCTTTTTGGGATTGATGATCTCTCTTAGCCTGTTGCATGTATCAATAGTTTTGCTCTTTTTCATTGATGAGTCGTATTTCACTGAACAGATGGACCACAGTTGGTGAAAATATCCACCTGAGCAGGCGTGGTGGCACATACCTGTCATTCTAGCACTCTGGGAGGCTGAGGCAAGAGGGTCCCAAGTTCAATTCCAGCCTGGGTGATTTAGTGAGACCCCCGTCTCAAAAAAGAAAGAAAGAAAGTGAGAAAGAAAGAAAGAAAGAAAGAAAGAAAGAAAGAAAGAAAGAAAGAAAGAAAGAAAGAGACGGACCTAGGAATGCAGCTCAGTGCAAAGGGCCTAGGTTCAATCCCTCCTACTGCAAAGAGAAATCAACTTACACAAGATTTTTTTTTTCTTTTCTTTCTTTCTTCTTCTTTTTTTTTTTTTTTGGTATTGGAGATCAAACTCGGGACCTTGCGCTTTCGAGGCAGGCTCAGCAGAACCACTGAGCTAAATCCTGGGCCCAACTTCCGCAAGATTTGAGGGTCAACTCAAGTTTTTATCTACCACAAGTATAGATGCTATAGATGCTATTAACATTCGTGTGGCTTCTTTATTCCTCTGGGATAAATGTTGAGGAGTGCAGTCAGTTGGTCAGGTAGTCTGTAGTGTGTGTGTGTGTGTGTGTGTGTGTGTGTGTGTAAAGAAACTGTTTAGCTGAGCATGGTGGCACACACCTGTAATCAAAACTCTCAGGAGGGTCGATGCAAGTTTGAGGGCAGCCAGGGCTACACAGTGACTTCAAGGCCAGCCTGAACTACATAGGGAGACCCTGTCTCAATTAATAAGTAAGTTTCAAACTGTTTGCAGAGTGGCAGGCCCATGTTCCACCAGCAGTGGATGAAGGATAGTAATTTACTTTTCTAATTGAGTTATACAGATCTTTTCTGTTGCTTTAGGAGGTAAAAATTCTATTTCTCGGGCCAGGGATTTAGCTCAGTGGTTCCCCTGCCTGCCTTGCAAGCCCAAGGACCTGAGTTCAATCCCCGGTACCAAAAAAACCCAAAAAACAAAAAACAAAAAAAAACAAAAAAAAAATTCTATTTCTTGCATCCAATTTTTATTTGATGAGCTCAACCCAGGACATCTCAACTAAGGGTGATTCTTCCCCATCCCTGGGACACCAGGTGTTGGATATCGGGTGCTGCAGTTGTTGGGCCGAGGGCAGGGACGGCACTCAGCACACCGGCAGTGCCCAGGCCGCCCCACAGAGCATGCCCTGCCATGGGTCGGTGTTTCACAGGCTGAGTGCCCAATGGAGCCGGCCAGGTGTGGGGGCCGTGGAGAGCCAGGTCTGGAGTCCTGGGAGCCCCAGTCCGAGCCAGGCAGACGCTCAGCCAGTTAATTACGCAGCACTCAGTGTCTGTCATTAACGTTTGACATCGCTGTCTGCTTTGTAGTTGGTTGAGCTGGGTAGCCGCAGACAAGTAAAGACAGAGTTCAGATTTTGGAAAAATTCCTACTTGGCTATAAATTGGAATGCATGGATCTCCGGGGAATGCTGAGGAGGGCGGGGACAGCGTGTAGGATTCCATTTATCCTGCACGGAGGAGCAGTGGCCGTGGTCAGGGAATAGGGAGGGAGGGGGTGGGGCTGGGGCTGGGGAGAGAGATGGTCTCTGTATAAAAGGGAGATGGAGCTGGGCTTCTGTCTTCCCAGGCTTCTGGGAGGCTGAGGCAGGAGGATCACAAGTTCCAGTGCAGCCTGGGCAATTTAGCAAGACCCTGTCTCAAACACAAAAAAACCTATGAAGATCAGAGTAGGAAGCCATTGTGTTTTTCTTGACATCCTGGTGTTGATACTGACCACGGTTTGATACGTTACTATGAGGATAGCTGGGTGAATGTTACACAGAATTTCTCTGTTATTTGTTGTTACAAGTGGATGCCAATCTACAGGATCCAATCACAGTTTCAGTTTAGAAAAAATCCTTTGGCCCCATACTGGCTGCCTGGGAGGCAGGCAGACATCCAGCGCCTTCCCTTCGGGGGCAGGAAAGGCAGTGTGGGCGCCAGAGCCGAGGCCGTGTGGGCTTCAGGGATCTGATTCAACCCCAGCTTCAAAGCAGCCACACAGCACCCAGCACAGGGAAAACCGCCCTGGCCTCGGCTTAAAATACCTAAATTACTCAGCGCTAAATATAGATCCCAGCAGGGAACAAACGGGTTGGCCCCGTGGCTGTTTTCCTTGGAAGCCAGTGGAGGGGTCCTATTCAGCATCCACGAGAGGTGTCCCCTAGGACTCCAGGACCCCTCTCTCCCCGAAGCCAGCCCAGCGACAGAGGCTCCCAGCCTGCAGGACACATTCTGCATGCATGTTTGTGTGTGCACGCATTTGCTTCTGTGTGTTCAGGTGGGGGTGTGTCCGAGTGGAGGTGTACCGTGCACGTTTGTGTGCTTTCCTGTGTGTGCACATGAGCATAAGCAGATCTGTTCATGTGCATCTGAGTGTGGATTCTGTGCATTGCAGCAGCATGTGCATATGATGGGCATGCCGGTGTATGCACACGCAGGTACAAGTGTGTCTGCAGTGTGACACACCCAGGTGTGTGCCTGTGTGTTGGCAGAACACGTGCTGTGCATAACATGTGCGTCTGTGTGCGTGTCTGTGTACATGTGTGTACCTGAGTGTGAGCATGCGTGTGCATGCATGTAGATATGTGCACGTGTGCCTGCTTGTGCTGAGATGTGATTCAGACACTCATTGCATCACCTGCATCCCATGCAGCCACTTCCTGACATCCCGCCATGGCTGGTGTCCCTGGCTGGTCCCTGACTCATGGACCAGCCATGGCCCCCGCCAAAGACCAAGTCAACACTGGCAAAACATGCAGCGGTGGCGCTGAGTCAGTGGGGACATTCCTCACCACAGTGGCCACAGGGCCTCATGATGGCAACAGCTCCACCCGGGCCAGGCCTGCCTGGGTAAGCAGAGTTCTGGGCCCGGAGCACACGGCAAAGGCCCCGGGCTGGTCCAGGCCTGGTGAGGCTGGGGCACAACCTGGGGTTGAGGTTTTTACAGATGCTGCCAGGCCCTTCGGTGGCCTCGAGCTGAAGGCCAGGGAGCTGCACCCAGCGCTCAGCTGGGTCCTGCAGGGTAGCCCATGGGTGGGAGGGAAGGGGACCCAAGTGGGTGCAGCACACCCACCGACAGGTAGAACAGAGCTGTGCTGAGACACGGGGCCGGAGCACAGGGACCGGGTGGGACTTGGAGCTGGGAGTGTAGAGAACATCTGGGTCGCTCAGAGCCCCCTCAGCTACAACACTGGGCCCAGATGTTGGTGTCCCTGGCCTCCACCCACTCTGCACCAGGAGCTCCCCAGTTTGTAAAGAGCCATTGGATGAAAACCCAAAATAAGGACTGGGGATTTAGCTCAGTGGTTTCGCCGCCTGCTGTGCAAGCACAAGGACCCGAGTTCGATCCCTGATACCAAAAAAAACCAACCCAAAATACACAAGTTAGGGGCAAACAGTACCCAGCATTTTCCATCCCAGAGGGGTTACCTAGCAACCAAGGCCACAGAGGGAGTCCAGATGATTGAGAGCTACGATCCTCGATCAATACTTCACACTTCAGGACAAACACCAATAAAACAAAAGCCCAAGCCTGCTGACCCAGGAAATATTACTGAGACAAGCACATCAAAAAGTCTTTGCGGTGACGATGGCTTTGCCAGGTCCCACTCAGAAGGC